ATCATTTAACCTTAATTACCTCCTTAAAGACCCTGTCTCCAAAAACAGTCACATTGGGAGTTAGGGCTTCAACATATGAAATTTGGCAGGGAATGGGGGTACACAGTTCAGTCTGTAACACCTCCCATTCTACTTTTGTGGAAAGAGCTTTGTAGAACACTTGGCACACAATAGCACACAGGCAGCAATGCTGAACAGATCATTGGGTGCCAGATGTTCTGTTGGGTTGCTGGAAAAGTCATGACGTATTTTTTCTATGTTTTCTGTTGCAAAAATGCATCATGACTTTTCCGAATACAAAGCTCTTTCCATGCCTCTCTTTTGTGTTTTTCCTGTCCTATCTCAAGTCTTTCTATAGTTATTAACATTGACTTTGAACTCAAATAGTACTTTGTATCAACCATTGCTACTTCCCTGTTGCCTTCCTGGCCTTTTCATCGTCTTTGTGTGTCCTGAGCAGCCTGTCCATCTCGTTGTGTGTGCACTGCAAGGAAGTACATGTTCTGGGAAGAGGAAACCTCTCTGGCCAATGCTATGGAGGGCTGCCTCGATGAACTTGCCTTCACATTCCCATCACCCCCACCATCCCTGTTTCAACTGCATTAGTTTGATTCCAAGCAATAGAACCTGAACTTGAACCTAGTTCAGCTAAAAGGAGCATATATTGGCTCACAAAATATAAGGAGGGGCTGCAGAGTTGAATTCTGGGAAGCACAGAGATGCCACTAAGCTCAAGAATAGGTGGATTCAGGTTCTGACTCAGTAGGTCTGGGACAGGACCTGCGATTCCACATTTCTTACAAGCACCCAGGTGACACCTGTGCTGCTGGTTTGTGGACCATACTTTGGGTAACAATGAGATGGAGCTGCTGGCTAACTTCTTCACACTTTCAGCAGCAAGCTAATTGAGCATGCTTGCCCTTGGCAATTCAGCAGTAGGAATTGTGGCTCTGAATTTGCCATTGCAGAGAAAACATGACACGCAAGCTTGCATTGCTTAAGAGAAAGTTTTATTTTTCTCTAAGTGGATCAATAACCATAAAAATATCCATAACTTTTGGCCCCATAATTCTACTTATGGATGGTAATTCTAAATAAATAACCCAAAAGATGGAAAATCCAATGTAAACAATGGTGTTCTACTATAGTGTGGCAGTGGGCCCTAGACAAAAGCCTTCTCAGACCATGTGGTCACTAAGGATTTTGTGCTGGCTTCAGACAAAGACATTCCTGGACTGTATAGTCAGCAAGACTTCTGCGTTTAACATTTCCGAATTCCTACCTCACCTGGGAGCCAGTCAGGAACTGGCACAAGGCTGCATGTCCTAATAAGGAACCTTAGCTGTTAACCCGGGAACCTCAGGGTATATAGCCCCGAGTCCCGCCTGGGTCGGGGCTCAGCCTCTGGATGTGAATCCGCTGAGCCAGTGCCGGCATTAGTAAAAGTTGCTTCCCATGCCTTGGTGTCCTGTCTCTTTGTCTGGGTTCCCCACAACAATAGCACTATGTGTAACTAAAGAATTAAAAGTTTGTCTAATATAGAGGAAATGGTTATATAAATTATAATAAACGCACTCAAGACAATATTGTGGGCATATATTTATCTTCTCTCCCTCCCCAAAAGCAACATATCAGTAAAAGAATAAAAATGGTATGAACTCACAAAGTCAACAAATTAATGAATTAATGGTTTCAACAAATTTGTCAAAGATAGGAAGTCTAAGGAATTGGGGGCATGACCACAGGCCTCTGTCTCTATAATATTTTACTTTTTTTATTGGGTAATAAGTTCAAGAGTAATAGTCTTACCTTTTTATACCTTTTATATGTTTATACCTTTCTGTATTCCTGAAATATTTCAAAATTCAATAAATAAAATGGATGGGAACAGAGTGAAGACCATTACAACTTAGATGTTAAAGGTGTAAGTAGTATAACAAAGTGAGCCAGTTTGCCCAACAAAATCTGCCCTTGGCTCTTAAAGGCACCAAGGATGATGGAAGGCCAGAATGAGGCATGGGGCTAACCCTATTGGGATGGGTGAAGTCTCTCTGGAGCCACCCTGCCCCACCAGGAGACCATCTCTCCTCAATTACTACCACCACAGGGGGTAGGCAGTTTATTCTCCAGAGAAATTGAACTACATCAGCTCAGAGCTCAGGCACAATACATCATAAAGGGGCAGCTGAAAACAAGGGAATCAATCAAAGGTCTATATACTGAACTGTGAGACCCTCAACCCCTGTCTTGCTCACAGCCTTCCAGGAGCCAGATGTATATGTCTATAGGAAAGAGACTGGAAAACTACAACCACTGAGCCAAGTCTACTCCACTCCCTATTTTTGCAAATAAAGTTTTATTAGAACACAGTCACAGGCATTCAATCAAGAATTGTCTACAACTGCTTTTGTGCTGCAACAAAAGAGCTGAGTAGTTGCAACAGACACCTTCTGGCCAGCAAAGCCTAAAATATTTACTCTCTGAGTCTTGCAGAAAAAGTTTGCCTACCCCTACTCTAGATAAAAATAGATGTCCCCAGGGGAGAGATTCCAGATCCCTTATTTGGAGCTCTAGTGAAAAGACCAGTAAGCTGCCCCATGACCCAACAATGAAACCCATGAGTTGGCAGGCCCTGTACACACACACACACACACACACACACACACACACACACTGAGCCTCCAAGCAAGTTTAGTACCTCAGCACAAATGGATGTCCAGAGATTTTTTCAGACACTAAAGGAAACCCCAGTGTGAAGGAGTGTGATCAAAACAAACAGAGAAAGGGACTTGGAGGAACCAAAAACTATTCAAGAAACAGAAGAAACTCAAAATAAAAATATAGAATTAATATCCTCAGAGATTGAGAAGATATTTCATGCATAAAACAAGAACTAGATACTATGAAAAAGAAAAGTGAACTCTGGAAACTGAAGAAAATGATAGCCCAAATTTAAAAATAAAGAAAGAGAAAGGCTGGAAGAATTATCAAACAAAAAGACCAAAAGAAGAAAATGGGAGGGAAAATTTAGGAAAACTAGATTATCATGCAATTCAGGATGTCTAATGTTTAACGAAAAAGAATTATAGAAAGGAAAAATGAAGGGTATGACATTAATTAGCAAAGAAATATTATAATACTTCTGGGAAATATTGTTTTATCCAACTGGTCACATTGTACCCAGCACAGTGAATAAAAACAACCAACAAGGGTCATGGTGAAATTTCAGAACACTAGAGCGATAAAGAAAAGATTCTGAGTCCAGAGAGGAAAGAAACTGTTTAGAATCAAATGGATCCAGGTTTCTCAACAGTAACACCGAATGCCAAAAAAAAAAAAAAAAGAAAGAAAGAAAAGCAATGCCTACAAAATTCTGAAAGAAAATTATTTTTAACCTAGGATTCCATGTTCATAACTACTAGTCAAGTATAATGATAAAATTTAAAAAATGTTTAGACCTGCAAGGACTCAAAATATTTACCTTTAGGCATCCTTTCTTAGGAAACTACTAAAGCAGCAGTTCTCAACCTGTGGGTCGTGACCCCTTTGGGGGTTGAATGACCCTTTCACAGGGGTCGCCTAAGACCATTGGAAAACAAAAAGATATTTATATTACGATTCATAACAGTAGCAAAATTACAGTTATAGAGTAGCAATGAAAATAATTTTATGGTTGGAGGTCACCACATGAAGAACTGTATTAAGGGGTCACGGCATTAGAAAGGTTGAGAACCGCTGTAGGATGTGCTTCAACACAACCAGAGAATAAAACCAATAGACAGACGTGGAATCCAGCACACAAGGGCTTCAACACAAAAGTGAAGAAAGTCCCAGGATGATGATTTTGCAACAAGTCAACAGAGCAAACAGTCCAGATTGGAGACAGAGGACTCAAAACTTTGGAGAGAGGGCCTCCAGGAAACAGGGAGACAGAACTGATCGATATCTGATATATTTTAAGATATGGAAAAATTATTGCTAGACATTGTACAGATTTATTAGAACACTTGAGAAAAGTAATATGCTCCTTACATCAGCAGCAAACAATTTTTGTCTATTAATAGTTCAGTAATTATGGACATTGACTATTATTTAACAAAAATTGTTATATAAATCTATTTGGAGGCTCATGAGAGTAAATGGTAAGGGGAGTTGGGAACTGGTGAGTAGAAAGTTAAATCCTCGATTAAAGTTGATAATCAAGAACAGCTATAAAATCATATAATTTAGAAACATACAGGTAAGTAAATACTAAAAGAAACAGAAGGGTAGAAAGTAGATGACCCTGTGAGAAGGGATAGGAGGAAAAAAAAAAAACATTGCTATTGCTTTTTTCGTATGTGAAAGCAGTACTATTTTATTGTTAACATATATTTTGACATGTATTTTGATAACAATAAGATTTTTGCTTAAAAAGATTATGTGGCTATTTAAATTATAACTAGAAAAACTAAGTTGCTTTTGGGAAAATGATTATAATATATGAACTCCTGTCATCTCCTAGAATTTAAAAGCCTTTGCAATAAGGTAGCCCTCCAGCTGGGAATGGTGGGCCGGCGGCCTGGAGGGATGTACATCCTCTGTGTGGCCCAGGTGCCTTGAGATCTGTAGTCTATGTCAGAGGGTGATACAAAAGCAGGTTTGGACTAGTGCATCAAGTAAGGCTAACATAGCCAGGGAGCAATGCACCAAGGTTCAGGGAAAGAGTTAAGTGGGAAAAAGATATAAAGTGCATCTGTGTACTATGACTGCAGTGGTACAAAATGATATGTTCACAGTGAGAAGGGGACAAGGGCAAATGAAAACAGTTTGATGTGTGGGAAGTTGGAGTGGTGGTAATTTTTTCCCTTTAATTTAGAATTATATTAATTCTGTGCTCGCTTTGGCAGCACATATACCATAATTAGAATTATGTTAAGACTGATGTAATGTTTGTGTAAATAAAAGAAAAATCTTTGCAGGAAATTAGTGGCATTCTTTGCTCTGCTTCCCTCCTGCAGCTTAATTGCTTACACGGAACAGTATGTGGAATATGACCCTTTGATAACGCCCGCCGAGCCGTCCAATCCCTGGATCAGTGACGATATCGCCTTATGGGACATAGAGATGAGGTAAAAAAAAAAGTTTTAATGGTTGGGAGTGGGAGAGATGTGGAAAAAATTCATGAGATTGTGAGATTGCATTATCCGCTCTCTTAATTTGACTTTATCACTAGAACAGAAACTCCTCAAATAACCTCCCCACTGAGTTCTGCTTACTCGTGGTTTCCGTCTCCGTATAGCTTTGGTTTGGACGTGGATCCTTTATGGCTTCCGTCTGGCCTCTCTCTGACCGTTTGAATGTCATGGTAGCAGGGACAGTACCTCACATTCCTAGTTCTAACTGCTGGGGCTGGGGGGGGGGGGATGAGAGGCTACTGAAGGCAGGAAGCAAGTTACATTCCTGGGCCCAGGGGGGGACGCTGGGGGAGGGATCTGTTGGCCAGTTTGTTGGTTTTTTGTTTGTTTGTTTTAAGATTTTTTTTTTATTGGGGAATTTGGGAAGGGAATAGTGTTGGGGAATTGGGGAAGGGGAACATTGTGTTTTTTCAGGACCCATCAGCTTCAAGTGCAGTTGTTGTCCTTCAATCTTAGTTGTGGAGGGCGCAGCTCAGCTCCAAGTCCAGTTGCTGCTTTCAATCTAGTTGCAAGGGGGTGGAGGGGGGGCACAGCCCACCATCCCATATGGGAGCCAAACCCACAACCTTGTTGTTAAGAGCACGCGCTGTCACCAGCTGAGCCATCAGGCCACCCGCTGGCAGCTCAGGCGCAGCTCACTGGCCCATGTGAGAATCAAACCGGCGACCCTGTTGCTCAGAGCTTGCGCTCTAACCAACTGCACCACCCAGCCGGCCCTGTTTGTTTTTTTTAATGTATCAGCCAACAGCAACAATAATAGCTAGCACCTACTTGGAACTGACCATATATTAAGTGTCTTACATGGAATCCCCACAACCAGGAAATTCTCACCGTTGAACAGATGAGGAAACTGAGGCACAGAAGAGTTAATAAACTTGCTCAAGGTCACACAGCAAGTAGCTGCCAGAGTTAGGACTGGATCCCAGGCAGAGGGCTCCAGAGCTGTGATTTTCATCACTGCTCTCCTGTAACTAGCGGCGGCGGTTCCATCCCGTAGCTCCTCGCCTGTGAGGGGCCCTAGTGCGTTTACCTACTAGCTGAGGAACTGAAGCCCAGAGGGACTTGGACCACGTTCACAATTACAGAAGGAAACGCACAGACAAAATCTGGTTGCTGCGCCTGTGTACCCTCTGCGGCTCCGCCAGACGACTTCTTATTTCGTGTCTCATTTCTTGATACCGCTCTCGTTTGCTTTCACTCTTGCTCTTTCTCTGCCTTCTTTTCTTGAAATGGAAAACCTTATAGTTCTTATTATTAAAAAGTCCTAACTAGTCAGACATGCAAAATGAAGAAAATTCTCTCTTCCTCCAACCTAATCTCATTGTCCAGAAAGAACCTGTGTTTATAGTCTAATGCCATGGTTCCCAGACTGCACCAGGGTGGCCTGGACCACTGCAGGGACCTCCCAGGATTACCATGGGACATGCTAAACCCTTGAGGGAAACACAGTGATGTCAGATACTGCATAAACTACTACAGTAGTTAAGGTAATTTACCATTTTCAACATTAGATCACATTCCACTCCCTCCAGGGATGTCATGTCTTTGCAAATCTGAGGTTTCAGGGCAGTTGCTGTGATAAAAAGCAAGTACTGGGCAAAAGTCAACATGGAATAGGAAACGAAGGTGATGGGGTCCAATCTGATTCTAAAATTTGAGAAGATGTGCGGTGCTCAACAGCGCACATGTGCTTATTTAAGAATGAGGAAAATACGTTCATTGTTCTTTCAATGTATATGTATTTCCAATAGTTATTAACTTGTTGGCACATAAATACATATTAAGTTCTTTGGACCTGACTTTTTCTAAATAAACCTGCCCTTGGTCATCCCTTCTGATCCAAGAACTTAAATCTTTCTTTAACTCAGGATGTTTTCTTTCCATCTTTTCTTTTTTTAAAATTACTACTACTCTTTATTCCATTCTATTCTCTCTTTTCAGGAAGTCCTTTTGCAGGAATTCTGGGCCTCTGGAATGGAGCAGCCGTATCTCTTATCTTTTCCTTATTCACCTTTTTATTCTATATTCAAGGACAGAATTCCTTGAATTACTCTTCAGAGTCACCAGTTTGGTTTTCAGTGGTGTCCATTCTGTGATTTTATACTTTAATGCGTTTTTCTTTTTGTTTAAAGATTTTTATTGGGGAATTAGGGGGATAGAACAGTGCTGGGGAATTGGGGGAAGGGGAACAGACAAGTTGCTGTCGTTTTGTTCTTCAATCTAGTTGTGGAGGATGTTGCTTCACTGGCCCA